GTCCCCGACCAGCCCTTTGCCTATAATAAAGCTGGTTACCGACTATCCCTGGTTTCCCGTGTGTTGCATTTTGGTTCTCAGCTCGTTTGTGACATTACTATTGTATCTCCGGATCATTGACGAGTGAAAGTTTCCACAACACGCTCCTGAAACGCGCCCGGTAGGGTATGACGCCGGAGGAGGCCGGACCAAAACCGCGGAGCAGCCGTGACGCAACGCAGACGGACCCGGTGGAATCGAGGGGTTATAGTCAACGTTGGATCATTCCAATTTTTGATTTATAATTTGTGATATTTGAGAGAACAGTTGATTTAAAATTAGACAGATTGGTCACCATCAGTATTTAGAATCACGGTGTAACATCACATCATGTTTGCTAATTTACCCATGTTAGGTTGTTTATCAGGTTTATGGTATATGTTTGATGTTTAGTTTATAGTCTATGTTTAGCCGTGTCTCCTTGTTCACTTACAGTCACGTATGTCTAGTCTGGTCATGCACTGCCTGTCATTGAACTTCCTGTTTTATTTTTTACTTACTGTACCTTTCCTTCTCCTTTCAGAGCCCTTTACTTCCTGCCAGTGTGTGTTTTGCTGCCAGTGAGATTGTCGGCCCCTCCCTTGATTGTTGCCACCTGTGTCCCCTTACCTCTTGTATAAATAGTCCTCCCTTTGTCCCTTCGTCTTGTTTCATGTTAATCAAGAGATACAGCGATGCAAGCAAAGAACCATTGTGAAAATATTTCCTCTGACCAAGTTGATTTAATTTTATGTTTTTGCAGCTTGCTCTGATACGTGTTGCCTCATAGAAGAGTGATTTGTTGTTGTAAGTTGTTTGTTCCTTAACTAAAGACTTTCTGATTTGTTAACCTTGTCCAGAGTCGTGCATTTGAGTACAAGCATTTTGTGTCGTTTTCTTAACACACGGATGAGCATGATCTGACAATAAGAGCTCTATATGGTATCTTTATCACATGTTCTCTTCAGCATGAACACAGGAGCAAAGCCTAAGCCAAAGGCTTTATGTTCTGACCATCGAAGTAGCAACATGTGGGTCCCATTTAAAATAGAACACACACACACACACACACACACACACACACACACACACACACACACACACACACACACACACACACACACACACACACACACATCTATGTATTTTTCAGTGAAAGATGTCATAATTACCCAACACTTCCTCTGAGACTCTCCCCCCCC